CCTTCTCCATTCCGACCAAGTACTGAGGAGAAGAGGGGTGGGGGTACTGGGATCGTAACGTCAAGTACCCGGTCATACGAGCGCAGCTAACATCTGAAAGCAGGAAAAAGGAGGGTAGGGGTCCAATTTCTTACCTGACCAGCACAACCATGACCTAGGATCCGGCGATCCCGGCCGGGCCCGGGACTTCCCGGTCACTCACCGTCACCGCCGGCCAGTGCCGCCGCGACGGTGCGGCCGGGGGCGCCCCCGGTGACGGACCCGGGCGGGCCGCAGTGTACTAGCCATTTAACTTCTTTACTCAAAGTTAAGTTAAAAATCAGTACGAGGACAATCAGAAGAGGCGAGGAGGAAGCCACACGGCGAGAACTTCGCTGCGGCCTCGGCGGCCCCCCGGGCCGCGACACCGTGTCAGGCAACTTGACGCCAACTTGGTACTGTCAGAAGGGCCCGGACCGTGAGCCGCTGGCCCGGCCGGGCCCGATCATCCGGAGGCCCACCGTCGCCGTGCACGGTGGCCGGCCGCTGAGGGCCGGGCCCGGCCCGAGCAGCGGCGTGCGGCCCTGCGTGCGGCCCGACAGCGGCCCGAGTGATACCAAGTGTGCGGTATGAGGGGAAGAATCCGCAAGCGGCAATGGCAATACATTGGAGCGTAGCGCTGAGAATGGCAGTTGCGGTTGCGATGATGTTGGGGACATGCGAAGGAAGCTCAGCAAGAGCAGATGGAGGGACTGACGCGGCTACAGCAATGCGAGGGGGCGCGGGATCATGCAAGATGAGGGCACTACCTGAGAGGGTCATAGGAGGGTATGCGAACTGGGGAAGGGAGGAGTGGCTGTCGTCAAGGGAGAAGATCGTGAAGGCTGTTGAAGATGGAGTCAACGTTATCCTCTGGTTCACCATCGACCTGGTGGATGATGAGGAGGCAGGGAGTCCAGTGGTGAGGTCTCGAGGACCAGATGGGTCCTTCTTGAGCAGTATCTCCAAGGAGCTGCAAGCACGCGGTCTGCACACGACGCATCTGATTACGATCGGTATGTGATGATGGCTGTGCCTCCTCCTCTGTTTGCTGTTACGATTGGCATGCGATGATGACTGTACCTCTTATCTCTTTCCTCTATCCTCCTTCCATGTTTCTAGTACCGACAACTTGCTTGCTTACAGGAGGATGGAACGAAGTTCATCCCACCACACGTCATGCTCCAGACAAGGTTTATGCGGCATGGAAGAAGTGGAATGAGCAGGAGATCGCGCGTCCTGACGAGGGCTTCTTAGGCTTTGATGGTTTCGATTGGGACATTGAAGGTAACGACGACGTCTCTTCAAAGTACAACACGTTCGATGTCAAAACTCTCGACTGGATTGGAAGGATCTCGCAGCTTGCGAAACAGGACGGCTACATTGTCAGTATGGCACCTTGCGAGTCTTATCTTGACCCGACATCCCACTCCTTCGATCGTTCTCTCACGACAACTCATTCCGAATGGCAGCCCATAGTCCCTCACTTTACCTACCATGGCAAGAACGCGTACGCGTACATCGTGTCGAGGTACGGCTTCACCAAGATCGAGGATCAAGGCAGTGAAGGCGTCCACGTGCACTATGTCCACACATTTGACATGATCATGATCCAGCTGTACGAGTCTTACAGTCACGCAAATTTCGAGCTTACCCTCAACGACAAGCACCCCGTCCAGTGGTTGACTGAAGTGATCCAACGCTTCAGTGACGGCTGGCTTGTCCAGTTCTCTTCCGATGAGAGTGTGGGATACAGCGACGCCATTGTCAAGGTGTTTCATAGTTGATGTCGTGCTCCTCTCTCTCCTTGTCCTGCCTTGTCCTGCCCTTGCCTTTGACTTCTCCCTGCTTCTTCTCATCAGCCCCGCAGGTTCTTCCCAGCCAGCTCGTGCTAGGGCTTGCAAACGCGTGGGCCCAACCGTGCGGAAACCCTCCTTGCAAGACTTTGTTCCTCCACCCTCACGTGCTCGAGAAAGACTGGCGATCATCACCCATCCTCTCTCAGATCAAAGGTTTTGCTTTCTGGACTATCCGGCACGAAGGCGATCCCATCATTGTTGGAGAGGATCGTCAAGCTCGGTTCTTCATGGCGGCAGAGCTGAACAAGTTGGTTGGGATCAGAGGAAATGAGTCGGCAGGAGATGCAGCCACGGGGTGAGAGAGCGTCGGGGAGGTGCTTCTTGGTGGACCAAGATTATTGTTTCGCAGACTGCATGTACAATACACAAGGGAAGATCGAAGGCAGGATGGTGGCTATTGAAACATCACTTGCTCGACTTTATTTACACTTTCATCACATCAATACAATCATGGAACTTGACAAGATAGACATGGCGCTTCGCACTCCCCGCATGACTCGTCCTCACCTCCCTTCATCTGCCAGGATCCACAGGATGCTCCCGAGAAGTAGAGCAAGGAGGTAGGAGGAGGGGAAGAGGCGATCAGTGCCGTTGAAGACAAGGAGAACGAGGGAGCAGGTGGAGTTGGTTCCGTTGCACATTTCACAAGCGTCATACTTGGTCCGCAGCCTGGCAGGAGGAGAGCGTCAGCGTGAAGAAGTACTGCAGCGTTTTCTTACTTCTCGTTGGGCTCAGGACGCCCATCACATCCGACGCAGCTCGTCGCCAGACCCCCACAGACCTGAGCAGGAAGCTAAGAAAGAGCAAGTAGAGCAGGACGCAGTTGCATGGACAGCTGTTGGTCAGGGGGAGTAGAAGAGGGGAGGGAAGGTAGCGACAGGGAAGAATCTTGCGATTGGTTGAAGGTCGTAGAGAGGCGGTAGAGGAGGAGGTTCAAGTCCAAGGACGAGCTCACATGGCAGTAGTCATCATCGATCTTCCCCTGGTTGACCCCCATGCAGTCCAGACATCTTGTATGGTCTCCATCGCACACGTCGCATTCTGTCAAGTCACTTCAGCTCCTCCAACAACGGCGACCCAGCCTCCCGTCCTACCATCGTAGAGCAGCCCGCAGAAGTTTGAGCTGGCCCGGGTTCGATCCCGCCAGGAGTCCACGCCGAAGCTGCTGCAAGGGATCGGGCCAGCCCCTGCTGACCTGCCATTCTTCTGATCCTGTGGGTTCGCGTTGAAGGGCGTCGCTGGCTTGCCCGTGAGGTCGAGGCAGCAGGGGACCCCCTTCTTGCGCCCCTGGTGACACGGGTGGTAGCCCTCCGAGGACACGCAGGAGACGTTTGCTCCCTGCTTGTCGCGACATGGCGAGCTCTGTGAGAAGTCAGACAAGATCCAGAGAAGGGAGGAAGGGAGGATGGCGATCAGAAGGAGCTGGTGTTGCAGGTTGAGGAGGATTTAGCGGTAGCTCTATGGTGGTAGGAGCGATTTGCAGGCAGAAGAGGATGAAAAAGAGGGAGGGAAGGGGGAGGAAGGGACTCGGGAAGGGGAAGGGAGGAGATGTTGGGGCACGCGTCTGCTGCGACGGTACCTGTTGGCAATCGAAGCTTGCCAGGCAGCCGGTGCAGGAGGAGTTGTCACCGGCACAGACCCCGCACCAATCATCGACCGTTGGGTCGTTGGTGATGCCCGAGCAGCCGACACACTCCCGATTGATCCCAAAGCAGATCTCGCAGCGATCCTTCGAGCTCGCGGGACAGCTACCCAGCAGCGCAGCGGAGTGCTTGAACCCCAGGCTGAGCTGAGAAACGTTCTTACCCACCAGGCTCGTCACCAGCTGTGCTGTCAGCGACCCTCCCATGTTCTCGCAAGGGATGTGAACGTTTCCTGCTGAGATGCAGTCGATGGCTTGACTTGGCGTGATGTACCCCAACCCCAGCTCCCCCTCTGTGTTGCTGCCCCATGTGTACACCAGCCGCCCGTCGCATCGGAAGGGAATGCCCAGCATGTCCCTTCCCATACCCCCCAGCTCGGGAGGAACAGCCCAGCTGTTGGGGTCCGCATACGTCAGGTTGCACACGCGCGAGTCGTAGATCCTCGCATCCACCAGTGCTCCAGCATGGTAGTCTCCAGCTGAGATACTGAGGAGGTCGAGCCGAGAGAGGCTGGGGATCTCAACAGGACGAGGAAAGTTGGGCGGCTGATCGTTGGGCGGGGCGAGGGGAGGGGAGCTGATGAGCGACTTGCCGAGCTGCCCAGCTCGGGTGTCTCCCCAGCCAAAGACGAACTTGGGGAGGGGGATCTTGACGAGCCGGCAGTCTGCGCCGGACCACTGCTTCTTGTTGTGGTAGGGGCAGACGTTGCTGTTCCAGAAGGTCAATGACAGGGAGACACCCTCCTGGCAGTTGGTAGAGGCGTTCTGCACTTGCGAGCAGCTGCGGAAACTCCCGGGACCTCGGTACCTCTGCTCCCACTCTGATTTGGTAGCGTTTCTACAGGTGCAGTCCCCCCAGAAGACAGGCGAGCTCGCTCCATCTGGCCAGTACATTCCTCCTCCTGACGAGCAGTACCCGGGAGGGTTCCCGATACAGTCAACATTTCCCGTCTGCAACGTGCAGGACTTCATCGGCTGGGCTCCTCCTATGCACACCCCAGGCTTGTAGCACATGCATGTCTGCCGGTTCCCCAGCGTGTACAGCGGATGACCGTCGTCGGGTTCACCCAGCGTCGCCTCGTCTGCAAACCGACAGTTGTCTGCCGCACAGCCCCTGGGGTCAGCGTTGATGCACTCAGTGCCAGGTGGGCAGGTCCCGTAGACTCCCTGGGGGAGGCCGGCGTTGAGGTTAAAGTTGTCCCACTGCTGCTTGTTCATCTTCACCGGGGGCACGGGAGCTCCTGCCTTGGTGTTGAGGCAGCAGTCAGGCAGCGCCCCCTTGACGCCGAGGGTCAGCCAGTTAGTACAGCTCTCGGTAGCGTACCCTGGCGTGCACCCGCACGTCTCCTGCTTCTTGACTGCCCGTCGGAACCAGCTGTCTAGGAGCGTCACTGTCTCTCCTGGCTTCGGCATCTGATCTCCGACACGCGCGGGGCACGAGCGGTCTGCACAGGGGCAGGAGCTCGAGCATGTGTGGATCACCCGGTAGCAGGGCTGCATGCCGCAGTCCATTGGACCGGCGCAGGGGCTCCCGTCGGGACAGGTTCCTGTCTGCTTGTAGCGACAGGGTGACGACGAGTTGCTCCTGGGGTAGTAGCAGTAGCCATTGCTAAGCTCCTGGACCTCCACGTAGAGCCCTTGGTCGCAGTTGGCGAGGCCTCCGGGGAGGTGGAAGGATCCCTGGCAGTCGCAGCTGCAGAGAGTCAAGATGTCAATGTACGTGGAGAGCAGAACCGTGCTTAAGGGAAGCTATGGACGAACTCTAGGAGGAGGAGGAGGAGGTTGAGGTTGAGGAAGAGAAGGAGGAGAAGGAGAAGGAGGAGGAGGAGGATGGGGAGGTAGAGAAGGAGGAGGAGGAGGATGGGGAGGTAGAGAAGGAGGAACAGGAGGCCTGGAGGAGAAGGGCAGCTCGTGTTGGTACCTTATGGCCAGCGAGAAATTGAACTGGTTCGTGCGAAGATGGTCGCCAACGATGTCGATGTCCCTGGGGATGTCCCAGTCTTGCAGGACCAGCCCGTTCACAGGGTCTTGGGAGAAGCATTGATACCCGCTCCTCACTCCATCCCCGGTACAGCCTTCACCCGTGACGTTGACGATGATCGCAATGTTGAAGTGACTTCCAGCTGCTACATCGAGGGCCTGCCACCAACAACTTCACGTCGACGTCTCCTTGCTGTCCCCCCCCCCTCCAGCCAGCAAACGATCTAGAGCTCTTCATCGTCCCTGGTTACTCTCTCTTTCCTTCGTCCTGTCCCCATAACACTTCGCCCCTACACTCCCTCCCCTCCTGTCGTGTCCCCTCCTCTTCCCTCCCTTCCCTTCCTCTTCTCACCTTGTAACCCTGCCAGGGGAACGAAGGAGGGTTAGGCTGCGGCTGCAGATTCGCCCTGGCGTTGTCGATGTAAAAGGGAACTTGGACGGCACAGCAAGGGTTCGCCTTTTCCACCAGCGGCCCCAACCCCAGCTGGTTCATACGGTTGTCCCCCCACGCAAAGATCTGAGGACGAGGAGGGTCAGGGTAGCAAAGCAGGGTGGACGAGGTGAAGCTTCCCCACCTTTCCATCAGCTGTAAGAGCTACCGAGTGGTAGGACCCTGCTGAGATCTTCACCACCCTCTGGAGCGGAGGCCCGTTGCAGACGAGATCGACGCAGCTCCAGCCTCCCAGCACGCGGATAGGACGCATCCATCGGATGTTGAACTGGGTAGGACAGCCCTCTGGGGTCTGCAGCTTCAAGGTGAGAGTCTAAAAGAGCGGAGGAGAAATATGCTCTAAACCTTGTCCGTCGGACAACTTGACTGAGTCCCAACGATGATGTCAGGATGGAAACGAGGACGACCCAGCTGGTACATCCTGTTGGATCCACACGCATACACCTCCCCGGTGTTGGCCAGCAGGATCGTATGCTCACTTCCCAGCTCAATCTGAGCAGGAGGCAGAATGTCAAGCGCGGCTCTAGAGCAGGCCCATCGGCTTACCTGCACCCATCGTGCCCCCGGGATCGCGTTCCCGTTGTCATCAGTAGGCTTCACGTTGATCGGGTTGGGAAAGTCGACATTCTTGAGGTCGCCGGAGCAGAGCTGCCCCTCGTAGTTGTTCCCCCACGTGTAGACGTTGCCGTCCGTGTCCATGGCGGCGCTGACGTGGGTGAAAGTCAGAGGGGAGAGGTCGCAATGGGAGGGCAAGGACCTGTGGAATGTGCCAGCACTGGCGTACACGAACATCTTCGAGGCAAGGTTGGCGTCATTGAAGTGGACAGCCGTGGGTAGATTCCTTTGCGTGCTGTCAGATGGATGCGTAGGAAGGCCGTAGGTAGGCTGGTTAATGTATGTGCCCAGCTGACCATACCCGTTCCAACCCCATGCCATAATCTTACCCATGGCGGTGACGATAACGTTGTGGTATGCCCCAGCAGCGAAGTAGGTGATCATCGGGTTGGCAGGATTCAGCAGGTCAGCGTTGAACATGTTGGGCTGAGGGGAGGTGTACACCCACAAGCTCGGGTCGCAGTTGAGGTTCGGGATCAGCTGCTGTGTCGCTGTATCGAAGCAGAAGGAGGGCATCAGCAGCCCTGGAGCTCCTGGAATGTCGTTGGGGAACCTCGGGTCTCCTCCATACAGCCCGTCTCCCAACCCCAGCTGCCCCCTTGTGTTGTATCCCCACGACCAGGCCCGTCCTATCCCAGTTGATACCACCGTCCGTTTGATGTAGAAGGTCTTGGAGATAGCGATGGGGCTGTCAAGGTTGCCCTCCTGCACTGCAATCGCCTTGATGGTCACGAAGGCAAAGGGAAGATCTGCCACCACGTTGCTCGTGATGGGCAGGTTGAGGTCGAGGATGAAGGGCCCATGGTACAGCCTCGAGTTCCTCGTGGGCGTCGACCCGTCCAGCGTGTAGTACACGTGAATGCACTGAGTGTTGTCAGAGCATACCACATTGCGACAGTCCGAGCTGACTCGCTGCGGTGAAGCTGCAGTCACTGTCTGGAAGTCAGAGTCCGGCCACACGGGCGTCAGGTCGTCGATACAGTCTTGGCCCTCTGCCCAGGTCCCGAAGGCGCAGTAGCCGCCGTACTCCAGCGGGCCGCATGTCTGGTTGTCAAGGTTGAACTGCTCATTGCTGCTGCACTTCCTCCCCGTGTAGTCTGTGCACTGTGATGTCTCGATTTGACAGTAGGCGTCTGAGTTGCAGTACAGCCGGTCCACGTTGCATCTGCACTCATACCCCGACTTGACAAGGTGATGATGGTCTGACTTGCAGGGATTCTGCAGACTGGACGGCCGGTAGTACCCTGCGATGAGCTGCGTCCCGTAGACTCCCGAGAACGGCGACAACTGGTTGTTACAGGTCGGATACGTCAACTTGCCCTCGCAGGCCCTCTTGCAGAGCCCGTTCTGAAACCCAGTGATCGGGATAACTCCGGCCGAGGCGAGCTTGCTCGACATCATCCTGGTGCCCTCTACCTCGATCCGAACAAGCACGTTTCCTTCGAAGTTCCCACCATTCGGCAGGAACGTCGGGGAGCCAACCTGCCTTCCTCTGGGGCAGGTAGACGAAGCGCACTGTGTCCCGGAGCATTCCTGGAAAGGGTTGTCACTGCACGTGTAAGGAAGGGATTGCCGAATCCACGGTTTGCCGGGAACGGACCATGCCTGCCAACGCAGTCTGTCAGCATAAGCAGAGACAGCGACAAACGATGAGGAGCAAGTTGTGATCACGAAGGACAAGGGAAGCTGATACGAAGAGCTGGGACGAGAAGTTCATGGAAAGGGAAAGCAGGAGGAGGAGGAGGAGGAGGAGGAGGAGGAGGAGGAGAGGGAGAAGGAAGGGAGGAGGAGGGGGGCGGGTGGGCAGGGGGCAGAACGGGGAGCTTGGAAGACACAAATGGAGACTGACATAGTTCCCATCCGACAGCGATTGGCCGAACCAGAACGAAGCCTCAACATTGCCGTTGATGTTGTTGGTGGGAGGAGTGAATTGAGACTTGCTGATGACCTGTGGGGCATTCGAGCTGATATCTGCCGTGTAGTTGGGAGCAAGGCGGTAATTCCCGTAGATGTCATACAAGGAAGTCCTTTGATCCCACAAGTTGCTGTCTGCTGGGATGGGGGGGAGACCAGGACGAGCCTTCAAGAGTTGACCGTTCCTTACCCACAGATTGTTCATCTCCTGTAGCACTGGTACTTGAGACTGACACGAAGTCAGGAAGAAAATCCAAGGCCATGTCCTTGCAAGCATCCAAGTACGACGAGGGAGCATCAAGCGCCGTTCGTTATGCATGGTGGGCTCTGCCTGTTACAAGATCGCATGCAAGTAGGGCATCATCGTTAAAGTAGCATCCCAGCCTGCCTTGCAGTGACGCCATAGCTTCGACCTTCAAACTATCATTGCATCGTTCGTGGGAGGGCCCGGCCAAGGTCACCTATCAATTCCTCAGCGAAGCGAGAGACAGGTTTGGATTGAATAGGAAGATCATCGGCCATCATAATGTTTCGCTATAGAATCTCTCAAAGAGTTTTGTCTACACTCTAACTTACTGAAGTCCTTATGAAGTTTCACACAGATTCGTGCGGAATAGACGGAGCTCCCTACCCTAATTCCGAAGAATGTTTCTCTTGCACAGATATGACAGAACGTGTTACCTTTGTGTACATTGCAACTAACTTCCTCCTCCCCTCGTTCCCATACTCTCTGTCTCGCGTCTATACCCTCTTTCCCTATTTCTGTCCCTGTCCCTGTCCCGTCTTTTCCTCTTCCTCTTCCTCTCTCCTCCCGCCTTCCCACGTTCATCGTCGCCCTACCATGCCGACAATCTCATCTTGTAAACTGCTGGTCAACCATCTTCACTGGTTCACAGTCTCCCTCCTACCCTACCCCGACGTGAATTCACCACCCCACCTGTCTCCTGGTATCAGTACCAAGTATGCTGCCTACTACCCCAAGAATTTAATCACCCCTATCCCCTCATTCGTGTTAATTCAAGTTCGAGAGAGCCAGGGCGGTTGAAAATGCCAGGGTGCCGCAGTGTAACCGCGGCATGCGCAGCCAACACAACGCCTCTTCACATCATGGCAGATCAAGAGGAGGACAAGAGACAGAGAGATGTAGATCTAGCGATGGGTTTCCTGTCGTTGAGCAGAGAAGCTCTACACACAGGAACTTGTTCAGAGTACACACCTCTGCCATAGGAAGATTTCAGGAGATCGCGCATGGGAGAGGGACAGAGACTTGCGGGTGATGGTCAAGCTGCATGCCATCTATGTAGGAATAATGTAGGAAGATGCTAGCTCCATGCGATGTACCTTCAACACCTGAGCAAGCATTCCCAAAGATTTAGAACTGTTTGCATATACAAGGGTAGTCGCGACCGGAAACGTTGCTCATTCCACCGCAATCATGCTGCAGTGCTGTTCAATTCTTCCGCACGTTCGAACATCATGCAGACAGATCTGACTGCCATGTCCGTCCAGGACTTTCTGATCTGTTGGGGGTCGAGAGGATGGCAGAGCAGGCTGCTCCAATGCTGTCCACCAAGACCAACGTGAGCCAAGAGCAGATGCTGTCGACGCTCGAGGCTTCCATGGTCTGACCTGCTCTCGTGCGCACCCTAGAAGTTTGTCTCACCCCCTTGTCAGGCCACAACGAAGCGAGGACCACGAGTAGACGAGAAGACTATGAAGATCATCCCTAGAAGCATTCTAGGAGACCCGGAGGAGTTTCAAACCATGCTGAGGCAGCAGACTGCTGTGAAGAACCCGAGTACGCCAGGAAGTGAGAACCTTGCCTCCCCTACCAGCGCCAAGACAGGACGGGCGAGGTTCGCATCCGGTGTGAGCGCCATTACGCTTCCCACGTCGGTGTCGGAACACATGGATCAGTCCAATATGTCTCCGGGCCTCAACACCAGCATGTACTACGAGCAGCAGGAGAATCTCGACAAGGAGTCTGAACTCCGCAAGTCGCTCAAGATCCTGGAGGAGACGAAGCGGCGCGAGAGGGAGGAGCGGCACAAGAAGCTCAAGGCCCTTCATATCTTTCAGCGGTTCGACCAGGTGAAGGAACAACGCATCCTGACGCGGCACGAGAAGCGGCAGGCGGAGTGGGAGGCGTTCAGAGCTCGCATGGCGAAGAGGCTGAACAAGGACCCGGATGACCTCGTGATCAACCGAGCGGAGGAGTTCCGCATGCTGTTGGAGGAGAAGGACATCCTCGGGAAAGTAGTCCCGATCGAGAAGCGGCATGGCGCGAACTTGTGGCAGATGAGCTTGAGAGATGCGTGGACGCGATACCTGACGGTGGGAAGCATCTTCTCCGGCCTTGAGATGCCCTTCGTGGACAAGCCGGACCTCAGACCTGAAATGATCACTTACATTCGCCAGCCGTTCAAGGAGTCCAATGTGGTGCTGAACAAGACGCGAAAATCTCGTGCGGAAGTCCCCGACGAGGTCTCCTATGTGGAGGAGTACAAGAAGCAGTACTCCAAGTCGCTCGGCGTGCTCCAGCCCCATGAGCCTGAGCTCGCCAACATCTACATCCAGGGCGTCGGGTTGGAGCGGGAGTACAACCAGAAGCTCCAGGAGACTATCAGGCTGAAGGAGGAGGAGGAAGAGAAGCAGAGGAAGGAGGAGGAAAGGCAAGCTCGTCGAGCCTCGAGGATGCCGACCTACCTGAGCCGGTCTAGCCTGAACGGCACAGACGCCGCGTCCCTCTCCGCTCGCTCGTACGCTACGACTGTACAGCCGACGGAGGCGTCGAAGACGGGGATAGAGCCGGAGAAGTGGGAGCCTGACGTGGAGGCGCCTGCCATGCACTTCGGGTCGAGCAGGCTTCTGTGCCATACGGTGAAGGAGCAGGTGGCGGAGGTGCGGCTGGGCTGCATGAACGTGGGGAACACGGCGGTGTACTACAAGTGGACCAGGAAGCAGCTCGGGGTTGACAGCGCCAAGGACGGAGTGCAGCGGGTGTTCCAGCAGGACATGTCAGGATCGATCCTCCCGGGAGCGAACAAGGAGTTCGTCTTCACGTTCAAGTCGGACAAGCCTGGAATCTTCGCGGAGGAGTGGAGGTTCGAGGGTCGACCCCTGATGGAGGCTACGGAGCATGTGGTGGTGATCAAAGGAGTGGCGCTGGAGGAGGACCTCGGGAAGACCAAGAGGGCTGAGCTCGAGATGCGAATCGGAGCCTCGCTGGTGAGGGACTTTGCGTTCCTGCTCACTGCCTGCTGCTGCTGCTCACTTCCTGCTGCTGCTGCTCCCTGTTTCCCTCTACTTGCTCCTCCTGTTGTGTGCTGCCTGACAAGGCCGTGCCGTACGATAGAAAGAGCACGCGGTGTCGGACTTCGTCGACGAGCTGGTGGATCACATCGGAACTCCGCGATCTCGATCGAGGTGACGAACATGCGAGGAAGCGACGAACTGATATGAACGCGCAGAGTGCTGGTGGAGGACCCTGACGTTGACCGTCAAGTGTTCATCGCTCAGAACAAGGAGGCGCAGGTACAACAAGGAGGACGAGGAGGACGGGGACGGGGACGAGGAGGTGGAGGACAAGGAGGACGAGGACGGGGAGGAGGAGGAGGAGGAGGATGAGGAAAGGTGGGGAGGGGGAGGAGGAGATCCGGGAGGCAGGGGCAAAAGGCAGAGGCTGGGATGAAGGGGGGAGAGAGGAAGACCGTAGACCATAGGTGGGGAAGGATAGGAGCAGGCAAGAGGAGGAGAATGCCGGAGAGCAGGGCGGATGGAAGAACGAGAGGACGAGGAGTTGAGGCAGGAGGCCCTGTGTCCTATGACCTGACAGCACGTACAGATCTACTACTCCAACACGACCCTCAAGCTGTTCCGGTCGCTGGCAGACTCCACCTTCGAGTTGCTGAACTTTCCCATGGAGGTGATAGGATCTCCTTTGAAGTTGCCAGCCCCTTACGTTTCACACCAGTTGCGCAAGTGGGACTCGTCCCTTGAGTCGTTGAAGCGGCTGCTGTACGCGATCGAGGTGAGGGTGGAGGGATGCTGCTGGCGTGGGTGCTGAGGATGAGACAGGACGACTATGAGCGCGAGCGGCACATCGTTCAGTTCAACGACATCATGAAGGTGATCGTTGTGTTCATGCATGAGGAGGAGGAGGAGGAGGAGGAGGAGGAGGAGGAGGAGGAGGAGGAAGATGAGGATGAGAAAAAAAATCTTCCTATCTCACAATACTAAATGATAGCTGAGCAGACCGAAGAGGAGTAGGAGTCGCCCGACCTGAACACAAACGAGTGAACTGCGTCTCTTGCTGCTGCTGAGGACGCCTAACGCCCTAGCAGGGCCTACATTCACCTCGAGCAAGTCGTCCTCATGCAGGTGGGAAGGAGGGAGGAGGAGCCGATGCCGGTCGAGAGCTAGACCTGCTCGCATGCTTGCAGAAAGCTCCTTGGCAAGAGGAAGGCTGCAGCTGGTGAACCATCAGGCGCGGTATGTATCCTCTCCTCTTCTCTGCCCCTC